AGCAGTTGAAGTTCAGCTAGTATTTCCCTGGCTGTCATTTCTGCGTGCAGACATTATTCTAATAGCAAACCCTCTCATCTTTGTTACCCTTTTCATGATCTTTTCAGTGCCTGAAAAAGTCAAGTACCAATATCTTGTGACACAAACACAAAGCAGAAGCCTTTTTTCAGAAGGATTAGTGATACAGAGTTCATGAACAGCAGCATTGAGTTGTGATACTAAACCAAAATCTATCATTATATTACTGTTATTGTTGTTATTATTATTATTTCACACCAGGACTGACTAAGCTAAATACCTGCTAACTAAGGACCAGTAAATCAAATTTTTTAGCTGGAATATCCCAGATGCTCTGTACAACAGCAAAGCTCAAATTAGTTTCTGTGCAGTCACACTAGTTCTCTGTGCCATATCTCAGTAAATTAAAATCTGCACACAAAGAAGGTCTCTCCTGTACTTTGCTGATCATTCTAACATCAAATGTCATACAGAGTAGCATAAATGGAGATTCAACTCCTGCTCACCTGGACAATCCCACTAAACTCAGAGCAGGGCTTTCCTTCCTGTAGCTCCAGTGCTGTGGGAGGTGGCGTTTAATAACCGATGGATAATTACAGAAGGAATTCTCTTTTTCTCTACCAGCAGCTCGTTCGGAGAGGGAATCCTGTCAGTTAGGGGCTGGAGAGGGCTGCTCTAACAGGAGGGAAATGAGAAGCCCTGCTGCCCCTGGCCAGTGCAACTCCCCTGTCTCTGACCCCAAAAAAGTGTCCCTGTGCCTCAGTGACAGGCACTGCTTGTCCCAGAGCTCTGCAGCACAGACCTCCTGAAGGAGGGCAAGATTTATAGAGCAAAACTGAAGGCAGAAGATTATTTTTTGTAAGCTTGGGAGTGCATGGATTAATAAATCCTGGTTGTCCCAGCTCTTAGGAATTCCATTCTGTCTAAATTTCAGTTTGGTTTTCTGCTTTCCCCCCCAGTAGAGCTGAACCTGGGAACAGCATCACTCAAAGGCTCGTTAGTTTGATGAAGTGGCAAAAGTGACTCCAGCTCCCGTGGGTACTCCCAGCTCCGAAGCATTTACACATCCCAAGGGAATTCTGAAAAACACCACCAAGCCTTTAGGTACTGAATCACAGGCAACTATTTTGAATCTTTAATTTTTTTTTCTATATTCTTTTCTATGAGGATGTCAGAACTAAAATATGGAATATGCTTTTCCCACTTGGTTCCTATTACTTGTAAAGCATTCAAAAGCTTCCAGAATAAAATTACCTCTATGCCCTGCCAGGGAGCAGGCAGAGCTCCACGGAGTATCAAGGGAGTCCCTCTGCTGGTGTTGCTTTCCATTTTTAACCCAAATATAATCATAAAAATGACTAAATGTGAGACTGGAGCTGTACAGCCTTAGATTCAGCATTTATTTGTTATCATGTTCATCCCAGTGGAGTTTTGCTGTGCTTTTATATTTATACAAAAAGTGCTGAAATATATTCCATAAATTAAGGAGTTCATTTTCAGGTGTGACATGTTCATCATCAGCACCATCATCATCATCATGTGAGTTTGTTTTCAAACTTTGCTCATAGGAGAGCAGCCAATTTGCATTTAGGGAAAAAAAAAATATTGAGAGAGAAATGCAAAGAGATGAGAGATGCAGGAAGCTCAATTCTGCCCTGAAATTACATCCCCTACTTTTCTATCCCAACTGCACATTTTCCATGGGGGGAAAGGCACTGAGGCACATTTAACCCCATAAACACCTGACATTTCCCCTGGGTGGATTTGGGTCTGCGTCCTGACAGTGAAGAATTAAACAACTCAACAAAAAATACATTTTTACTTTGTTCCAGTACTCGTTTGAGGCTTAATCACAGTTGTCAATGTGCCATTGCAGTGAATAACATTTTCATATTGAGTTATTTTACAGTTCCTACAGCAGTAAGGAATATCTCAGGGTACTAACTGATTGTTTTGGCTTTATTTATTGTACAGGAAAGCAATGACATTGAAAATATTGTATAAACAGCAAATACACCGAGCAGCAAAATCCCTACCCTGCATTATGAATTGAAATGACATTATTTTAAAACATTTGAAAAAAAAAATCATCATAATTATATGTTCTCAACACAGAGACAAATTACCTATTATTTTAACATAATTAATTTGAGCTCAGAGCATTTATGTTGCTGTGTGTGTCATTATCCATCAAAATGCTAAAAAACTGGGGGTTGAATCTTAAGTTTTTTCTCCAAATGTGTCATTTGTTTGTCTCCACCTTCAACACCTGAAAGTTTTAATTACAGTTGACATTTCAGTTTGTTGTCCGTCCCCTAGGCCACATTTCCAAGCTCCCTTGTGATGGTCTTGCACCAGGGCCTTCAGGAGAGAGCTCTCCCTCTTCAGAGAGCTCAGGTTTGTAGCCAAGTTTCTGTTCTTTCCCTAGGATATGGATGGGTTTTGAGGCTTTTTTGCATCTTATGGCTACATCCTGATCATGTATTCATTTCTACTGCTGGTTAATGCATTTTTCTCTTTCAAACACACCCTCCTGCATGTGAAAAGCAAAGGGAACAATGAAAGGTGTCGTATTTCAAGGGTCGGGTTTGTTCTCCTGGCTGGCTGAACAGGTACCTCTCTTCCCAGCACCTGCACAGGTTTGGGCTGTGTTTTCTCTGAGCTCGGCGTGGGATCTGCTGCTCCTGTGTGGTCTGGGGTGACAGGAGATGGATGGAAGCTCTGCATGAAGGCGAAAGTCCAACCATTCCTTGTTGTCCTGTCTCCAGGAGAGCACAGAGGCCACAGCTGTCCAAACTGTGCAGGCTCTGACGGGCTCTGACTTTTTTATGCCTCTGATTTTCTTCTCCCTTGTCTCTCATGATTGGCATTTGTCGTTTCTGGGCCTTGTTTGCTTGCACTGCACTTGTGGGGAGCCCGGAGCAGTGCAGTATTTTCATGTCAGCCGGGTTAAGGGTGAGGAACATTACACATGCACACTGATTTACGCCTCAGAGGCTGCAAATCGTGTCAAGTGTGATCTCAGCACAGCTCTGCTCCATGACTCAAGTGCTCGGTGCAGTGTTACACTCTCAGACATCAATCCTCAGCCAGGCAAGGGAGAACTCCTCCAGAGCATCCACAAAGTCCTGTGCTGGCAGAGTTATTAGTTATTCATGAGATAATAATGGTGTTTGCAATGTTTGGGCCAAAGCCAGAATCCCATCATCACTGAGGGTGGAAAAGCCCTCCAAGCTGTGTCCCATCTCCACCTTGTCCCCAGCCCAGAGCTCTGAGTGCCACCTCCAGGAATTCCTGGGACACCTCCAGGGATGGGCACTCCAAACCTCCCTGGGCAGCCCCTGCCAAAGCCTGAGCACCCCTTCCAGCAACCAATTCCTCCTGATGTCCACCCCGAGCCTCCCTGGCACAACTTCTTATCCTGGTCTTTCCATAATTCTATTTTGCAGGGCCATATGTCAGGAGCTCCTGTGGACAGCTGTGGGTGTGAAAGCTGCTGTTCTCTGCAGCAATTTCTTCAATATTTCAAGCTCTGCGTTGTGTTGAAGTCAGTGCCAGTGACTGGTTTTTCTCCTTCTGACCATCCCTGTAAAACAGAGCTCAGAGAGAGGGATCTGACAGTCAGAATTCCCTTGGGACACCAAAGGCCTTGACCTGCAGGCGCCTGCCCAGCCACTGCTGCTTCTGCTGCTTTTAACCACATGGAGCTGCCATGACCTGAAAAACCTTTCCCAGCACAGCCATTACCAAAATTCAGCAACCCCTACGAAAAGCAGTAATTTGGCCCCACCTCATCTTTTCCCTGAAGGAAAAAAGGCTGAGAATTCCCACATTTGCATCGTGCTGGGAAATTCCCGAGGTGGGAAGCACAGCACAGGGACCGGAGCAGTGCGGTTTGCTCCTGAGCGAGCCTTTCTGCAGGGCAGCAGGGAGATGGAAAGGGTGCAGGGAATTCCTCTTTGCCACGGCACAGCGGCTCAGCCCGTCTGAATCTTCTGTACGTTAATTTAGCACATCCCGTCAGTAGTGTCTGATTAATAACGCAGCAAATAACGCAGCAGGCACACCGGGGGTTCAGCTTAGGGCTGGGCATGGCTCTGGGTTCAGGCTGGGACCGGGCACGGCTCTGGGTTCAGCTTAGGGCCGAGCACGGCTCGGGGTTCAGGCTGGGACCGGGCACGGCTCTGGGGTTCAAGTTAGGGCTGGGCACGGCTCTGGGTTCAGGCTGGAGGCTGGGAATGGCTTGGGGGCTCAGGTTGGGGCCAAGGATGGCTCTGGGGCTCAGGTTAGGGCTGGGTACAGCTCGGAGTTCAGGCTGGGACCGGGCACGGCTCTGGGGTTCAAGTTAGGGCTGGGCACGGCTCTGGGTTCAGGCTGGAGGCTGGGAACGGCTCGGGGTTCAGGCTGGGGGCCAAGGATGGCTCTGGGGCTCAGGCTAGGACCAGGCACAGCTCGGAGTTCAGCCTGGGGCCGGGCACAGCTCGGGGCTCAGGCTGGGGCCGGGCACAGCTCGAGGCTGAGGCTGGGCACAGCTCGGAGTTCAGGCTGGGGCCGGGCACGGCTCGGAGTTCAGCCTGGGGCCGGGCACAGCTCGGAGTTCAGGCTGGGGCCGGGCACGGCTCGGAGTTCAGCCTGGGGCCGGGCACAGCTCGGGGTTCACCGCCGCCGCTCCGCAGCCTCACGGCCCTGCCTGCCCGGGCCGCTGACGGCCGGCACCGCCGCAGCCTCGCAGCCGCCACTGAGCATGCTCGGCTCCCGCACATCCGCCGGCGGCCGAGCGGGGGGAGCGGTGCCGGTGCCGGCGGGCTCGGCCCGCGCAGGAGGCGGCGGCGGGGCCGCCATGAACCGCGGCGGGGCGGGGGCGGCGCCCGCCTTCCCCGGCCCCGTGCAGTGTAAGTGCTGCGCCATGCGCGCTCCGGGGCCCGCGCCGCGCCAGCGCGGGGGAGCCGGGGCCTGCCCGGGCCCCGAAACCTGAGTAGCGCATGAAACGGGCGGGAGCGGAGCCCGGGAACCTGGCTGGGGGGCGGGGGGGGGAACCCGGGAATCTGCGTGAGCGCCGCGGGGCCGGGCGGGGGTCCCTGGTCCCGGGTGATGGTCTGTGCATCCCGGACGGTGGTCCGAGGGTCTCGGGCATGGATGCTCCATGGGCAGTGCTCCGTGGATCCTGGGGATTGTCCACGCTCCATGGGCGCTGGGTGGTGATGTCCGTGTGTCCCGGGCACTGATCCGTGGGCACTGGGTGTCCAGACCATCACAGGGACACAAACCTTCACAGGCACCCAAACCATCACAGGCACCTCCGTGTCACCTGCCAGGTGCCAGCCCTCTGTCCCTGTGTCCCCATCACCCAGCTGAAATAACAGTTTTCACATCAGTTGTCGCGTAACCAAGGAAATGAAATAGTTCTGTGCTGCCTTCTTGGGTTTGTTCTAACAATAGTTGCTTAATTTGCTAATTGAGGTGCAAGTTCTCTCAGAGAATTGCTCAAGTCTATTGTGTTGTGGAACTAGCTTGTGCCTATTAATTAAAATTGTCGATACTTATGAAGAATACTGAAATTACTATGCATTTTATTTTTTTAAGAGTGCTCTGGATGGAAAACACAGAATTGCTGTCAGGCACCCATCCAGACCTTTTTATGTGAGAACACTGCATTCCCTAACATTGCTCCCACAACTAATTGGCAGGAAAAATATTACTCAAAATTTCTGCCTATGTGAAGACTTGAGTGAGGTCCTGATCCTGGAGACATTTAAATAAAATTAGGATCTTGTTCCGTGTGTGAAGGTTTGCCCTTCTATATATAGTTTTGGTTTATTTTGGTGTGGGACCTTGCTAAACACCAAATTATTTGACTCTAATTTGGATAGACAGGTTAAGGCAGGGAATCTGGAAGAGCAGTGAAACAAACTGAATTCAGGGCCCACTTCCAGGAATTTTTGTATTATAATCCCTCAATTCAGTGTGGGTTTTGGGTGAGTCATTTTTCTGCTTCATATTTACTCATCTTTAAAATGAGGACAGTTCTATCCATTTGCCCTTTTGGGCTATAGTGTTGGTTAATTGATTTAAAAGCTGCTACTTTGGCTGAGATATTTTCACCTGTTATTCTTGTGAGTAACAGCTAAAAACAGTAGAGTTGAAAGAGGCTGAACTTTTTTAACAATTACAAAAATAATTTGGGTGATGCCTTTTGAAAACATTTGCCATATAAATAATGATTTTTTTTTTCTCATTTGGGTTATAACACAGAGTTGAAAAACAAATGTATCTTTATTTGGTATTTGGAAGAGAAAAACCTTTTTCCTTTCCTCCTCCCCCAGGTAAAGAGCAACCCAGGAACAGGAATGTTGCTGGGAAAAAAAACCGAATAGAGAATTCATGAAACTAGGCAATTATTAGATATTTTTTTTTTTATCTGCTTAGAGAAGTTAATGAAGTTTTTTGTGTGTTTAGTTTCTGCCCCAGAGTTTGTTTTTGAGCATGGCTACCAAACCTACCTGCCCAGCGAGAGCACGGAGCCTCCAGCTGCTGCTGTGGTCTCCACACCCCCAAAAGCAAGGTCCAAGAAACCCTCCTCCTCAGTGCCCCTGAAGAAACTCAGCTGCCTGTACCCAGGTGAGATGGGGATCGTCCCCATTTTAATGTGGAGAGCTTTTCTCTGGTGGCACACAGGAGATTTGATAGCTGCAGCAGTTCTGGAGTGAGCTGCCTCTAAGGGGAAGCTTTAGAAGTTGTGGGCTGGTCACTGTTTTAAGCAGATGTGAGTAAACAAGATGAGGAATTAACTTTCTGTTAACAGTGAATTTTAAATAATTGTTGATTTGTTGAAAGTAAACATGTCCAGAATGTGGTAATGTATTTTTATTATTTTGCTAGATTTTCCTTGAATTTAATGATCTTTATCCTCCTGTTTTCAGGGTGCCAGTTCAAGACTTCCTATGGTATGAAGGATCTGGAACGTCATCGGCGAACGCACACAGGTTTGTGTTCCTATATTTTCTTTTGGGTTGGTTTCCTCCTTTCAGCTTTTTCACAAAAGCCATTTTCCTATGAAGTAATGTCTCTATAAACAGGATGTAGACATGTCTGTACTTTCTAGCATTGTCCTGGCCTGTGCCTGAGGAACTGCCTGATGGGGACATGCCCTGTCAGGCACAGCTGAACGCTGGAGGTTGGTTTGAGGCACAGTTTAACTTCTTGAGTGCACACCATGTGTTTATCAGGGTGCAATGTGGTGGGAGTGCACACACCTGCTTTGCTCTTTATATTAAAGCAGTTCCATGATTTTAGCTCCCAATTTTGGAGTTGCAAAGGGAGAAGGCTCCGAAGGCTCTGCTGTTTGTCACAGCTACGCCCGCAGCTCCTACAAACGAGTCCCTTTCCTGGTCAGTCTGTGCTTTCTGCTTTACCACACGCCCTCCCCTTGCCCAGGGCTGAGCGTGAGTGCTGCTGTTGCAGGAGACAAGCCCCACAAGTGCGAGGTGTGCAGCAAGTGCTTCAGCCGCAAGGACAAGCTGAAGATGCACATGCGCTCGCACACGGGCGTGAAGCCCTACAAGTGCAAGCACTGCGAGTACGCGGCGGCCGACAGCAGCAGCCTCAACAAGCACCAGCGCATCCACTCCAACGAGCGCCCCTTCAAGTGCCAGATCTGCCCCTACGCCAGCCGCAACTCCAGCCAGCTCACCGTGCACCTGCGCTCGCACACAGGTGGGCTTGTGCTCTCTACGGGTCACAGCTGTGATTTTGAGTCATGTATAGGTGTCCAGATCCCCAAAAGGGATGATCTGAGTTCCCAATGAGTGCCCCTTCAAGTGCCAGATCTGCCCCCAAATTCCAGCCAGCTCACCTTGCCCCTGTGCTCACACACAGGTGAGGCTTTACACATATCCACGGCTCTGTGCACCTGCACTCGCACACAGGTGGGGCTTTACACATATCCCTGGCTGTAAAGTTTGGAGGGTCACAGAGGTGATTTTGAGTTATGTATAGTTGTCCAGATCCCCAAAAGGGATGACCTGAGTTCCCAGTGAGTGCCCCTGCAAGTGCCAGATCTGCCCCCAAACTCCAGCCAGCTCACTGTGCACCTGCACTCGCACACAGGTGGGGCTTTACACATATCCCTGGCTGTAAAGTTTGGAGGGTCACAGAGGTGATTTTGAGTTATGTATAGTTGTCCAGATCCCCAAAAGGGATGACCTGAGTTCCCAGTGAGTGCCCCTGCAAGTGCCAGATCTGCCCCCAAACTCCAGCCAGCTCACTGTGCACCTGCACTCGCACACAGGTGGGGCTTTACACATATCCACGGCTCTAAAGGTTGGAGGGTCACAGAGATGATTTTAAGTCATGTATAGGTGTCCAGATACCCAAAAGGAATAATTTGAGTTCCCAATGAGCGCCCCTTCAAGTGCCAGATCTGTCTCTACGGGTCACAGGGGTGATTTTCAGTCATGGACAGGTTGCCCAAAAGGGATGATCTGAGTTCCCAATGAGTGCCCCTACAAGTGCCAGATCTGCCCCCACAGCTCCCCATGCACCTGCGCTCACACACAGGTGGGGTTGTGCTCTCTAAGGGCCACAGGGTCACAGAGGTGATTTTTAGTATAGATGATTTGAGTATAGGTGTCCAGATCCCCAAAAGGGATGATCTGAGTTCCCAATGAGTGCCCCTACAAGTGCCAGATCTGCCCCCAAACTCCAGCCAGCTCCCTGTGCACCCATGCTCACACGCAGGTGGGGTTGTGCCCTTCTGACCTGGGCAGGTGAGCCCCGAGTGAGCACCTGGGAATGCTCATGGCTCTCTGGTATATCCTGCAGAATTAGATTTCTGTGCCATTCAATATTCCAGTAGCTGGGAAGGGATTTTAGACTAACCTTTATTTTTGGCATTTCAGTCTGTTGCATCTCAAGCAATTGAATTATGCTAAAACTCAAGCTTTAGTTTTGTTGCTTCTTCTATTTTTCCGAAATTTATCTTTTTTTCAAAGCTGTCATGCACACACCCAATTTTAGGAGAAAAGTAAGACTGGTATGTAGAATATATTGCTTACTGGAATTAAATTAATAATCCTCTAGAAGGTGAGTGTAATCCCCATTGCTCAGAGCGAGATCATCTTCACTTGTTGAACTAGTCACTAAACATCAGCTTCCTGTAAATTCGAGTGAAACTACTCTTAGAATTAATAACCTGTGGTCTGACACAAGTTTTTATCTAAATCCTGGCAGTGTCAGTTAGGGATGGGCAGAAACATAAAGAAATAGAGAGTAGACCACTCTTTAAACAAACAGAACCAGCATTTGCTATATTCTTTTTCATATATATTGTGCTACCCTGTATATGAAAATTAAGTCAATTGAAATATGAGCTGTGCCTTCATCAGCAAAGCAGATAAAAATTCAGTAGCTGAGTGTGCAGCTGAGGCTGTAAAATAAACTAGATGAACAAACAGTGCATCTTCATTAATAAAGTCTGTTTAATACAGATAGTACACCATGTATCTCAATTATTAAACAGATACATGGATTAGCACAGTAGGCCACAACTCGATTTGAAAAATATGCAGCTAAACCTATGACATATGTAGCTGGATAAGCAAATTATGCAAAATTATACAGCTCTCACAAACTCTATGAAATATTAACTTCTAAAATAAATCAGCCATTTGCAGTTTGATTATTAAAGAGGATAAATGCTTCTTGAACTAAATACACTTTCTTTTTCCTTCTTTCACCAAGAGTGTCTTAGAACCTAACAACACAATTCTTGCACTTGTTCAAAATAATGCCTACCTAAAGACTTCATCCTCAGGTGAAAAATACAGAGAAGTGTATTTTTAGATTTAAGAAGGAAAAGGGAGTAGTTATTTAGTTAGGTTGCTAAGTTTGCTTTGGATTTTTTTTAATGGCTTTAGAACAGCCTCACTGGAATTGATTAGGGATTAGCAGAGCTCCACCTTAACGTGGTCATGGATATTGTGACACCAGCCTGCAGATGCAGAAAATGCAAAACAGTGGGTTGAGATCTGAGTGTGTCAGAGCAGGTGAGGATCCTGTGTCACGAAATTTCTCCTGACACTGAGAACGCGTTGGGCGTTCAGGACGAGGCAGCTGTAGGGGCTTCATCCCAGCAGTGGCTCCCGGTGTCCCCTGCGTAACCCGTGCCTTCCTTTGGCAGGAGATGCCCCTTTCCAGTGCCAGGTGTGCCCCGCCAAGTTCAAGATCAACTCGGACCTGAAGCGGCACCTGCGGGTGCACTCGGGGGAGAAGCCCTACAAGTGCGAGTTCTGCGAGGTGCGCTGCGCCATGAAGGGCAACCTGAAATCCCACGTGCGCATCAAGCACAGCATGGAGAACACCCTCAAGTGCCCCGAGTGCGACTTCCAGTGCGGCAACAAGACCAGCCTGAGGCACCACATCCGCAGCCACCAGCCCGAGCAGCCCGTCAAGTGCTCCGAGTGCAGCTACTCGTGCTCCAGCAAGGCGGCCCTCAAGGTGCACGAGCGCATCCACGGCAAGGAGCGCCCCTTCAAGTGTGACTTCTGCAGCTTCGACACCAAGCAGCGCAGCAACCTCACCACCCACGTCCGCAAGGCCCACGGCGACAAGGCCAAGGGCAGGAAGCACTCGCTGGACAAGAAGGAAGGAGAGAGGCCAAAGCAGGGCGGCTCCAGGCAGGTTGCCAAGCTGGACGCCAAGAAGGCCTTTAAGTGTGACCTGTGCGACGCGTCCTTCGTGCGGGAGGACTCTCTGCGCAGCCACAAGAAGCAGCACAGCCTGTACAACGGCTCCAAGGGCAGCGAGCTGGCCGTGCTGCAGCTCCAGATGGATCCCAGCCGCCAGCCCAGCGCCCCCATCACCGTCAGTCACCTCCAGGTGCCGCTTCAGGCCGCTCAGGTGGCCCCGTACAACGAGGGCAGAGTCAAGATCATCGTGGGCCACCAGGTGCCTCAGGCCAACAGCATCGTGCAGGCCGCCTCTGTGAACGTGGTGCCCCCGGGGCTGCTGGGCACGGGGCAGGAGGAGGTGCTGGGCAGCGGCCGCCTGCAGCTGCTGGGCCAGGTCAGCGTGCTGGCCCCGGCCCCGGCCGCAGTGACCGCGGGGGACGCGGGGCCGGTGGCGGAGCCGGCCGTGCTGCTGACCACCCAGGAGCAGGGCGAGGGCAGCGCCCTGCACCAGGCCCTGCTCCCCGGGGCTGCCCCCGGGCACGAGCCCCCCGCCAGCCAGGCCTTCATCGCCAGCTCCGGCATCAGCTGCTCCGACCTGGAGGGGCTCAACGCCCTCATCCAGGAGGGGGCCACGGAGGTGACCGTGGTCAGTGACGGCGGGCAGAGCATCACCGTGTCCACGGCTGCTCCTCCTCCCCCCATCTTCTCGTCCTCCTCCCACACTGAGGGCCCCAAGCAGAGCTATTCCATCATCCAGAGTGGGGCTCACACGGCACTGCTGTGTCCCGCAGACTCCATCCCCGATTAGGGGCTGCTCTGGACACAGGGGCTGCTCAGGACACAGGGGCTGCTCTGGACACAGGGGCTGCTCTGGGCACAGGGGCTGCTCTGGACACAGGGGCTGCTCTGGGCACAGGGGCTGCTCTGGGCACTGCTCTCTCCTGGAGCACTGCTGAGCCTGCCAGGAACGCACAGCACACAACTGAACTCAGGATTTGTCCTCCAGAGCCAAATACCTTCCACGCTGTGTTTGTCTGTACACTGAAGCATCTTGTGTGGGGAGGAGGAGGTGTTTGTATTTCTGTGCCTCTGCTGCAGCCAGAGGCCCTGCTCCTTGGAAAGCAGCTGTTGCCAGTGTCCCCAAGCAGTGACACCCCAGTCTGGCTCCTGCCCTGTGCTGCCTGAAGAGGAGATCCTCCCCTTGTGCTGAATTACCTCCACAGCAGCCTTGTTTGATGCACACATGAAAAGACAATGACCTGAGAAGTTAGGTGGACTGAGGTCTCTCAGTTCTGTGTCCTGTGTGCATTCCCTGCTCTGGCTGGGCTCTGGGGAGCCCCACTGCTGGCTCTGCTCCAGCCCAGGTGAAGTGTGAGGGGCTGCTCCCCAGTATCTGTAGAAATCAGTAGCACCTGGTGCTTGAAATGCTCCTGCAGAGAGCAGGTGATTGTTTTCAGAAAGTAAAAGAATGTTGTCCCTCTCTCAGTAGTAACTAACTCTGTTAGCATCAACACAAATCGTCTCTGGCATGGTGATGGCTGTCAGAGGTGCCTGTGAATTAAAGAGCAAAACAACTGGAAATATATTTTTTACAAACACTACTTAACCTTCTGTTTTTATTTTGATGCTGCCTGTTGGGAGTTGCATGGGTGATAAAGGTGTATTACACTTTGGGTCTTGTTTTCACGTTAAAGGAAAATATTGAATTTCATTTAATTTTTTTTTTTTAAATCTTCTAATCCAAGGTTTTTTCACTCCAGCAGAAATTCAGGTTGGATCACAAGGAGATGGTAATTTATTATTATATTTATAATTATTATATATTTCTATATAATTTTATTAAATTGTTAAGTATAATTTATTAATTTATTGATATAATTAAATTAATCCGTTTATTAAGTAAATATTATCACTAAATAATTCATTATTTCTTATTTATTTATTATATTTATCTAATTGATTATGGACATTTCTCTGATGAAAGAATTCCAGGCTGTATTTTGAACTATGCAATTGCCCGTGCAAAGGTACCACGGATGAAAGCAGCGAGTTTGCCCATCCCCGGCGGTGGAGGTGAGCTCTGCAGGCAGGCTTTCCTCAGCTCCCAGTGTTCCGAGTCATCCATAGGTGGTGCCAGAGGCCCAGGGAAGCCCTGGAGTGTGCTCTGGCTCCTGGGTGATATTTCCTCTTTAACACTTCTCTATAAAAACATTTCCAAATTCAGCTTTTTAAGACGTCACCAAAAGCTCAGCTGTAAAAATCTCACTTAAGCAGATAAAAAGAAATGCCCAAAGTTTTCTGCAAGAAGCAGATCTGTGTCCAAAACTTACCTCCCAACTGCTGTTAAATTGATAATATTTTGCTCCCTGGTAACGAATGTCACCCTGTTCATTGTCCCCAGCTGCAGGACTGGCACTACAGGAATGATAAACCCCAGGGATTTTGGAAAGCTGTGGTCTGCAGTGCACTTCAGCTGTGCTTGCCCCTGGCCAGGAGCCTCCCCTGCAGTCCAGAGTCACCCTGAAGGTGGCACAGCTCTGTTATCTGCACTGCAGCTGCTCAGAAAGCGCAGAGAACCTGCCCAAGGAGGAAACCAGTAGGTTTGTCATATTGTAGAGACTCACCTTGGTGCTGGGCCTCAGAGATAAACAGGAAAGATAAGGAAATGGTGTGAGTGAATAGGCAGAGCTTAGTGCTGCTGCTCCAGCCTGCTCTGCCTGATTGCATCATGTGAACAAGCTAGAGACTTCTTCCTCCAGCCTGAGAAAAACCAGCTGAGAACTGAGGTTGACACGGGGGCAATTTCTTTTCAAATTTCTCTCCAATATTCTGGCTTGATTTCTGTGTATGACAGTAATGGTCTGTGTGTTTTGGAGCTGGCAGGAGCAGATTGTTTTAATCTCTGATGTTCACTTAATACATTCTTCATGTTATCAGCAGAACCGTCCCAGGAGGGAGCCTGGTAATTCAGAACAAGTGTCTCCTGTAGAGCTCTCCTGCTTCTGAGCACATGGTAAATGAATCCTATCCCTCCCTCCCCAGAGTTCTGCCATGGCCTCAGAGCTCTGGAGCAGGCTGGCTCTTTCCAGGACCAAATATTGGGATGGAGTTTTGTTCCTGCTACCTGGAGATCCCCAAGTTCCCCTGGTAAGTGCTGGGCCTAGGAGCAGAACTCAGTGTTCCAGTGCTGCTCACCCAGCACAGCCCTGGCTCTAGGAGAGAAGGTAAAATGTGAATTTCCCACCCAGTACAGCCCTGGCCCCAGAGGGAAGTGTAAATTTGGATATCCCACCCAGCACAGCCCTGGCAGGCTCTGCTCTCTGCACAGGTTTTCCCCAGGTTGCCCATGGGCTCCCAGGTGTGAGTTTAAGGTGTGCCACAGCCTCCCTCCTCTCTGGGGATGAACTTCTGCCTGCTCAGAGATCTGAGGTTAAACTGGGCAGGCAGAGGTGTAAAACCTGTGTGCATTTCCAATAAACCAACCCCAGCTCTTGGGCCTTCCCAGCCCTCTGGGGTTTGTTGCTGTTCCTGACGCTGCTTTTTAAAGCCAGACCCAGTTCCACAGGAGCTGATCCTCCAGCAGGCCTGCTGAAATGTGCTTTTCTCCTGTGCTTTTGTGAGGAAGGAATACACAACAGGAAAAAAAAAAGCTGAAGAAAAATGTGTTTGGACACATTTAACTGTGTTTTGGGGAGGCTGGTTCTGACAGGCCCAGCTCAGTGTTCCCAGTGGGGTTTGAACAGTACCGGATTAAACCTTATCCCTGGTGCTGTATCTTTTAGGTGGTTTTGATAAAAAACTGTTATTTGCATCAAAATGGGAGATTCCTGCTCCAAACCAGGCTCAGGTGTCCCATGCACGGGAGGATTCCTGGACATGCCCAGGAAGCACTCCTGGGGGAGTGGATGGGACCAAGTCCCCACCTCAGATGAGGCTTAAAAGCAGCAGAACTTGGCCCAAAGCTGGCTCTGCTGGGAACTGGGAGAAAACCAAACTTCTATTGAATACATGTGGGGCTTGCAATTGAAAAATTGTAATCTAAATATTTCCCAGTCATTTTGGGAATGAGCTCTTTATTACTGCTGTTATCTGACTGCACTGGAAAGCACCTTCTGTTGTGGGCTTTAAAACGTCAGAGACATGCCTAGACATTTTCCTCTACAATACAAAGAACAGGGGAAAGGCTTGGGGTTTTTTCTTTTTCATTTAGATACCTTTTTTATTCTGTATTCCTGATTCTTTATTTATTTGTGTTTGAAGTCAAAATATAATCAGTCATCCTTTTTGCACTGTGCTGCTCTGCTGACTGCAAAAATATTTCCTGTGTTCTCAATGGCAAGACCTCTATCCTATAATTTCAGGAATATTGACTGGCTACTCTAATGGCTTTTTACATCTCCAATTGGAAAATCTTTAGCCTTGTTATTTAAATTTTAAGAAGAGAAACCAATATTGTTACAAGAAACTGATGTCTCCTGTCACTTCCCCAATGACCTTTCATGAGGTGATAAAGGTTTCTATAGTGACCTGAGGAAATGATGTCTCAGGTATCAGCGTGAATTAAAAGTCTGTGGCAGGAAAAGCTTTCTTTTCTCTCTCTCTCAGGTATCCAGTTCTGCCTTTGTCTTTATTCCAGTGGCTGGACATGGAGAAGGACTCATAAAACATCCAGTGTTTGGTTACATGGCTGTCTTTAGAGGCTTCACAATGTTGTAGGGAAGGAAAAAACGTCCATGGCAAAGCAGAGGTGGATTTTTTACAAGCTGTGTCCACTGAATTCTGTAACCTGTGGGATCAGCCAGTTTATTCCACCAGCCTCAGGAGCTGTGTTTGCCTCTCTAAAACCAGGAATTGTCATTGACTGCAGATTCAGCTTGACAGAGGTGTTTTAAGTTCCTCGATTCAGACCTGTGTAAACTTACCTTTAATTCTGAAAGTGAAAGCTCTTGGTTAGTGAGAGTGGCTGCATTTTGTAGGTAAAAGTTGAAAGTGATCTGGGAAATAATTAACTGAGTGCCTGCAGAGTGTTTTGAGGTATTTTTATTTGGTTGTTGTGTTTTGGTTTGGTTTTATTTTAAAGACACAAGGATGCATTTCTGCCTTCTCGTTCTGCTGGGTGGAACAACCTGTTCTCAGTGTCTTCCAGTTAACAAACCTGGTGTGAGACACCTAAAAAAGTCTTGGAGAAACCTCCAACGTTTCCAGCTTGAGCTTCCCATCGATGTCCTCCAAAGTGAAGGAAAGCTGATAAATCTTTGTGCTGTCTGTAGTGGCAGGGTTTGAAATCAAGGCTGGCCCTGGTGCTCTGAGCTGTCAGACAATTTTAAGTTTTCAGCTTGAGTTTCCCATCGATGTCCTCCAAAGTGAAGGAAAGCTGATAAATCTTTGTGCTGTCTGTAGTGGCAGGGTTTGAAATCAAGGCTGGCCCTGGTGCTCTGAGCTGTCAGACAATTTTCCATCATTTTGCTCCCCAAGCCCTGGGCCAGCAGAGCAGAGCAAGGCCAGCCCTGAGCCCTCACCTCCTCTGCCTGCTGGTTGTATTTGCACTCTCTAGATGTCAGACTGAAAGAAAAAATCCTCCCCACACCTTTTCCTAGCACAGCTCACAGCTTCCTCCTCCCAAAGTGTGGCTGCACTTCCTGCCATAATTAATTATTGGCCGTAATTCATGATTCTATCAGCAATATCAGTGTATCAGACATCATTGCAGCAGTGTTTGCACTGGAGCTGTGCTGCTGGAGAAGGATATGGTGAGCATGGGAATAACTTGGATACCTCAGTGATGAGCCAGATGCAAATTCCCAGCTAGATCCTGGAGATAGTCACATCTCCTGATGGCCCAGAGGAAAATCTGAAAGAACAGGAATGCATAAAGCTCAGCTGCATAATGCATGGCAGTCATAATTAATAGATTAAAGTTCTTTGTGAAACATGCTTTTTTATTCTAATAAAGGGAAGGGACTACAAATGGTGACACAGTTTGAACAGAACAGCAATGTGAGATGCCACGTTAGAGTTGTAAAGCTAAAGAGGTGATAAAACTGTACCTCGGGTTTAAATTTTTACAAGGCTGATGTAAGACTTATTACCTTAAATAGCAGCACTTTTCCTTGTCTCTGGGCACGAAGGGATCTCTGGATCCTTCTGGTTCTCAAAGTACATTAAATTAAAAACTTGCCAATCCTTGCTGCTCACTTCCTCCTAAAAAGTTCAGGATTTATCCTGTGAATCACTTTGCCTTAACAATGTTAAATTTTGCTTTTGTTGTAAAATCAAGCAGATCAGCCATTGATAGAACTTTAATTGGCTGGGGATGCTCATGATTTTTTTCCTTTAAAAAAAAAAAAAAAAAAAAAAAAAAAGCCTGCCAGCAAAATTGCTTTTTGGTGATGACTCTGCTTGAAAAGTGCTCTGCAGGGGCCCATTCCCAATTGATTATCTTTCACAGCTAATAGCTTCAAAGGCTATTTGGTGGACAGTCCAGTTTTACATTTAAATGTAAATCTCGATAGCCTTGACAGACTGATGGTCAGAGAAAAGAAAGGTAAAACCAGTAAAATGGATGTACAGCTGCTATAACTTTCACCAGCTCCTCCAGGGG